CCCTCCTTCCTTGATAGAATCATATTATTTCGCTATATACCTTGATATTTTAATAAAAATATGATTGAAACTTAGTGTGATAATCAAATAAACACCTTAAAAATTACAGCATATTGACAATAAAAAGCCCATCAAAACTGCCGGCTGTAGCCAGAACGCAGTAATAATGGTTACTTTTATAAGTAAGAATAGTCACCGACTGTAGCCAGGCATGAACATATTCTGTTTATACTTCTATAACAACTGTCGGCTGTAGCCAGGCACAATGTTATAGGATTGCAAAGTTTTCATTACTAGCTCCATTTCAGGCTTCACCAGATGTAAATACTAGCTCCACTTCACACTTCCATGTATCAACCACCGGCTGTAGCCAGGCGTAGTAGCCATGGGTCGGAAAACTAAAATGATTTGCAAGAGACAAAACTGCCAGACGCGGGAATAGTCCCAATTTTTCCTAACAACTATTGGTTGATTTAATTGTGACTCTACTAAGCCACTGATGACTAGTTATATACGTAATACGTAAACACTAGACACGTACTAAGACACGCGTTTTTATACAGTATATTATACAAACTTTCGTCATTTTAATTATTGGTTATTTTACTCTCACTTTTAAATTCCTACTTATCATAAAGGAACCACGCTTGAAGAGCTCGAAGTACTTTAAATACAAATGTCCTGAAGAAATCTTAGGCTTACTATGAAGAGCCAGTGTCCAAATAATGCCTTGAAACTTTTTTGGACAAGCTTTTAGATAAAGAAAAGGGCTTGGACTTAGAACAATTATAATAGCTTTATTTTGCCAATTTGACCCAAATAAAAAACCAAAGGACCGTAGATAATTCTATTCGTTTATTTTGTTCTAATTACATTGACTGGATAGAGGTAACTACTCAGTTTTCTCTAGTAAAGCGTAGCATTTAAAAGCCAATCTTGGATCTATCAAAGACATGGAAAGGACAGACCGTTTCGAACGCATGTTACGAGTTTTTTCATGAAAGC